GTTAGCCACCGGCACCAGGTCCTGCGGCCCCCTTTCCTGGCGGGGCTCTGAACCCCACCCTGGGGAGGTGAGGCACCGAAGCCCCTACAGGCCTCTCCTGTGGGTACAGCCTCTGTGGCGTGCACGCGGGGAAAAGGGACGCTTTTGTACCCACACAACTCCACACCTAACTGGCTACCCTACCCCAGCCCCCCTGCAGCCCTCCCCCATTCCTTCCGTCCCTCCTTACATTTCTCTCAGTCAACCTGGGATCCCCTCCCCTACTTTCCCCCACTCTCACCTGCTATGTACACTAGCTCAGATACTGCGCATCTTGGCTAAAATGTCAATCTGATGATGCCTGGACTCAAGCCATGCACACGCTCGCCACCCAGCTATCTTATGACAGTGACATCTTGGCCCCATGCCTGCAAGTCTGAGTCCCAGAACGTCTTGATTCTCTGATGTCTTTGGCCTGCGGTTAGGGTGACTGGGTGGCCACCTGCATGTTCCCATGGTGAGCTCAGACTTTTTTTTTGAGAAGCTGAGGTACAGAGCACACCCCTGATGTACTTTAACACACTCACAGGCCACTCAACACAGGCTTCGTCTCTGTTTTGTAGCTGAGCTCGCTGCTGCACTGACAGTCTGCAGCCTGAGATGGCTGCACAGTTCTCGTGCACACACCCACACAGCCCGGCCCGAGGCCAGCCGGAATTATTCTGCCTGGATGGGATTAGCAGGGTCACTTACCCAAATATGTGCTTGGGAGAGAGACTAGGGCAGGAGAGAGAGAGAGAGAGAGAGAGAGAGAGAGAGAGAGAGAGAGAGAGAGGGAGGCAGGCATCGCCAGTGCCCATTCTGGAGAAGAACGCACAGATGACAGCTGTTTCCAGTTGGTAAGCATCCTTTTGAATCCCACACCCTGACCCTGTGATGGCTGGGCTGGGAGGCAGCAGGCCAGAGTTCTGGGCTCCTCCATACCTCTCTGATGTTGGGACTCAAGTCCACCAGCACCTCTTTGTCCTGAGGAGTGTGTGTCCTGCCCTCTGTAAGGCAGACTACAGGGCAGTTGTAGACCTTTCTCCTGGTTGAACATAACTCAGGGAGAAAAGGCAGAGGGGGCTGGTTTCTGGGCCTTGTGAGGACTTCCCCTCTCCGAAGACCTCTGGGATGCTCCAGAATTCTAGGGTGGCAGGAGCTGCTGGCCAGCTTCCTTTGGTGTCCCATAGCTATGACTCCCATGGTCCAAAGCCATTTTATTCATTCCTAAACAGCGGATACCCTGCCACTAGGCCCCAACCCATGCTGGAGAGAGGGATGTTGTTGTTTAATGTTGCCTTTCTCCACACCCAGACTGTAAGCCTTGATGGCGGAGATTCTGTCCTCCACTTCTCACTCAGCGCCTCCCACCAATGGGCTCAATACATTCTAATGGAATTGGAAAATGACTGCTCCTCAGAGAAAACTGAAAAATGTCACTTTCCTTGTAATGAAGCTGGAATTTCTAAGAAAGGGACTGTAAGTGGGGCACAATGGCTGGACCATGGAGGGCCAGCTCAGGATCTGAGAGTTTTCTGTGATTGGGGCTCTCTCTTCATTATGGCTGCACAGTCATGCTGCTGAACCTTAGGCAAGGACACAGGACACCTTATCGGTTCCCTGATCATGGGGAAGACCTGTCTGAAACATTCAAACTGAACTTTCTTAGACATGGAGAGGCCTCTGCACCCGTGGCAGCTGGCTTGCAAGGTGTAAGACCTGCTGTCTGGAGCCCCAGGCGGGTCCATGAAGGGATGCCTGAGAGAGCTCTTCCTTTTGGTCCTCATTCCCACCTCGAGTTTCTCTCCACAAATGGGTATCATTTAAAAAGCCTCCACGTTGGAGGGAAGTTTTATTTTTATTTTAAAAATATATTTTTATTTATTTCAGAGAAGAAGGGAGAGGGAGAGAGAGAGAGAGAGAGAAACATCAATGATGAGGGCGAATCATTAATTGGCTGCCTCCTGCATGCCCCCTACTGGGGATCGAGCCAGCAACCTGGGCATGTGACCTTAACGGGAATGGAACCTGGGACTCTTCAGTCCTCAGGCCAATGCTCTATCCACTGAGACAAACTGGCTAGGGCTGGAGGGCAGTTTTAGATGCCTAGCTTTGCAGAAGCCCAGAGGAAGGGAGGGAGAAGGGCTGAGTTTTGTGTTTTGTTTTACTGGCCTTCTGAAGATTTCCATCATACCAAATACCAAAATGATGTGTGTGTGTGTGCTGTACAATTTATATATGGTAAACAATATGCACTTCAAGTGTACAAGCCTGATGTATTTTTACATATAATGCACCATGAAACCATACCATGTAACCATTATCCAGATTTGAGACCTTACCATTTCTGTCACCTCAGAAGGTTCCCTTATATCTTTTCCTCATCAATAACTACTGTATTCCCAAAGGTAATGCATATTCTGATTTCTATCGCAATAGATTAATTTTTCCTGCCTGCTTTGAGCATCATATAAACTGGATATATAACACATACTTTTATGTTTATGGTTTCTTCAGCTGAACATGTTTGAACATTCATCCATCTTGTTACATGTGTCAGACATTCATTTCTCTTTGTAATTGTTGTGTAATATTCCACAATATGCTTGACCCTTCACCTATATCATCTGATGGACATTTGTGTTGCTTTCAGTTTTGGGATATGATAAATAAAGTTGCTGTCAACATTTTTGTACATGTCTTTTTGTGAAGGGCATTTCTTTACTCCTGAGCGAGCACCTAGCAGAGTAGGCATATGTTTAGTTTTAGTAGATACTGCCAAACAGTTTTCCAAAGTGGAAGAACAAACTACAGTGCTAGACAGACAGACAGACAGACATATACTGTAACAGGGCCTTTTCTGTATAGATAGCATTCTCTAAAGACCACTGTGTACTTCCAGCTGTTGTTGTTGTTGTTATTATTATTATTATTATTATTATTTAAAAAGCATTTTATTTATTGAAATTTTAAGAGGGAGAAAGAGAGAAACATTGATTTGTTGTTTCATTTGTTTATGCATTCATTGATTGTTTCTTGTATGTGTCCTGACCGGGGATCAAACCTTGGCATATCGGGACGATGCTCTAACCAACTGAGCTTCATGGCCACGACTCCAGCTGTTACCATCATCATCATCATCATAATCATCATCATCATCATCATCATAAAGGAACAGAATAGCTATCCTTTATTAAGCACTTATTTTGTGCCAGGGATTTTACATGTATTCTCTCATTTCAGTTTTTTCTGACAAACGTAAGGGGTTGGTAGTATTCTTGTTTTATAGTTGAAGAAACCGAGGCGCAGAGAAATTAACTAACTTGCTGAAGGCCCTCAGCCAATAAGTGGTGGTTTGACTTTGGAGCCCTGAGTTTCACCTCTGCATATGTGCCTCTGTTTGTCCCTGCACGGGCAGGAAGTCCTTCCTTCCATCTGACCAAATCTAGCTGCTATTTATGAGACCTGTTTCCTATCACCTCTGGTCCTCCCCACATGTGCTGTCACACCCAGGCTTGAGATTTGTGTACACACGTACTAGTATGCACACGGTCTCACAGCCACATACACTCACTGGGAAGAAGAAGAAGAAGGGCATGGGGGCCAATTTCGTGAAAACCTCAAAGCTTGCCAAGCACTGGGCTCAGCAATAGTGTTCTTCTTAGGGAATTTGCTGAAGAAGAACGTTCCAATTTGTTTTTGGATGCTGCAGAGAAGAATTCAGAGGAGATGGGCATTTGGTCATCCTCCCAACAAGCTGAGCCAAGCCCATGACAATGATGCTTTAGAGGCAG